CAAGGTAAAGAGAAAATTCGTCTGCTCGGAGCTCACTTCAATAAATTTGCATATAAATGCAGCCAGACCGGGTGGTAATAAGCAGTAACCAAGAACACATAGCGACTGGAAGAACGATCTGCAACAACAAAGGAGGCTTACTCCGGTCACGAATAAATAGTGGGACATACGAGAGAATCGACACATGTATTTTTTGCATAATTTTGTCAACCAGAACCAGGCCGGTATACACGGTTTAAAGTCAACTTGAATCCCCGATCTCAAGACCCTAAGAAATTCGAATATCGTCCTCAAAAATTCAGCTTTCTAGCTTCTCTAATCTCGAAGTTGAAACTGACGATAAATATGAACACATCAAACTACATGTGCTAAATAATCGAAGTTTTTCCAAGAATACTTTTTCATATGAATAATTGATATGAAATACTTACATGTTGCCCCCGAGCAGTTTCGTATTTAGGGTCACAACGCACGAACCAAAGAACGTCAGCGTGAAAACCTCCGTAAAATGAGGGCCTTTGCCACTCTTGCCACCTTGCAACAATCTTAAACGCACAGTGTTACATGCGTAAAACACTTGTTAAGCAAACAGAGGCTCAAAAAAGATCCAAATATTTTGAAAAAAGAAAAAAAGGCCAAAAATACTCGTTGTCAGTGGATTTATTTCGTTCTTTGTTACCCAGCCAGATTTTTTAGACGCAGTACTGTATGAGAAACAATTATGAAACTTGTCCAGAAAGTGACTGTCGTGATACCATCTATCTTTAAACTGTGAAGTCCGACTATTCTTGTATTACACAAACCCGCAAAAAAAGTCAGGCGTCCGGTCTTGCATGTCAGTGCCTTTTCGAGCAGTTTCGCAAAAAAGGTACACGGAGGCCAGATCCGTAGCTTTCCAAAGTGAACACGCAGTGTCAAATATTATTTGCTTAGTCAACTCAACGGCCAAAACAGAGGGTTCAGAAAGGTTATGAATCAAGCCTCCCTCCCCGCCTTCTCATTCATTCCTAAAATAAATTTGAATATTTTATGGAATTATGAAAAAGGTTACAACCAAAAGGAAAGTAATTATTAAAACTAAAAGTGAAAACTGAATTGGAATGTTCCATTCCATTAAGTTACATACATTCTCACTCAGTGCTGCAACTGGACCTCGTCAATAACTGAGCATATACTCTTTCACTCACAAACTCAAATTTAGCAAAACAGAAACACAGCAAATAAGCTCATACACACAAAGCAAGAAGCTTCTGCGGATATGCCATATTGCATTTTACATTTTTAGTATAAAATTATACAGCAAAAACTAACAGTGAAATGAGAACACAGATGAACAGTGGTCCCCACAGATCCCAGTCGCGTAATAAGTGCTGGTTGCTCTTTGGCGCTAAAACCTGTGCAAATTTTGCGCCGACTGCACGCAAGTCTCGATTCTAAAAAAATAAAAATAAACACACGAAATACATAGACTTTAAAATGCAGAATTGAAGCTGCCCTCTTTTTTTGATCGTTTAGGCGCTCAGAAAGCACTCATTTTAAGAATTTCTCATTTATCAGTGAAGGAGAGAGGAAGGGAAAAAAAAATTAGGAAACGAATGTAGAAAAAGACTTGCAATAGTATCCCAAACGGGCTCGTCCAATGTGTCGAAATCACTGTTTAAATCGGGCTCAACTGCTGAATGACGCGTTTTGTATGAGGTGGCGCCAGCAATTTCGCCACTGAGATCCACGAATTGCTGCTCGCGCCTTTCCTGCTCCCTCGCCGCAATTTCCTTTTCCAGCTAAATTACAATATTCGTTGTTAGGTAGTACAAAAGTATGTGTAGAGTTATATCTATAGGGAGGCACGCGCCAAGCCTTCGACTTTGGGTTGATAATTTGTGATTTCGAACTAACGATGAATATATGCTGTTATACTAGAGTCTGTAATAAGCTGACCTAACTCGATCGCATCGCCCCGTCAAGATCGGCCTCGCAGTCGCTCGTACAGCGTACAATCTTTGTTCCTACACCTCGTTAATTAAAGCCCCTT